GATAAGTCTACCTCCGGATCGAACGATAGAATTTCAAATAGAACTACTTCCTGGAGCAGCACCTGTAGCACGTGCACCATATAGATTAGCTCCTTCTGAGTTAAAGGAGTAAATGACCCATTTGAAAGAATTATTGGATAAAGGATTTATTCGACCAAGTACTTCCCCGTGGGGTGCGCCGGTGCTTTTTGTGAAAAAGAAGGATGGATCAATGAGGATGTGCATTGATTACCGGGAACTGAATAAATTGACAATCAAAAATAAGTATCCTCTCCCAAGAATTGATGATTTGTTTGATCAATTGGTTGGAGCTACTTATTTTTCAAAGATTGATTTACGATTCGGTTATCATCAGTTGAAGATTCGGAATGAAGATGTGTCGAAAACGGCATTTCGTACATGTATAGTCATTATGAATTCCTAGTTATGCCATTTGGACTCACAAATGCGCCTGTAACTTTTATGGACATGATGAATAGGGTGTGTCATCCCTATCTTGATAAATTTATGATTGTCTTCATTGATGATATTCTGATATATTCTCGGTCGGAAGAAGAACATGCACATCACTTCAGATTACTTCTGGAATTGTTGAAACAAGAGAAACTGTATGCCAAGATGTCAAAATGTGAATTTTGGCTGCGAGAAGTTCAGTTTTTGGGGCAAGTTATCTCAAAAGAAGGGATTAAAGTAGATCCATTCAAGATTGAAGCTATTAAAAAATGGGAAGCTCCAAAGACTCCAACTGAAGTCAGAAGTTTTCTTGGATTGGCTGGGTATTATCGTAAGTTTATACAGGATTTCTCTCGTATAGCTACTCCATTAACGAAGCTGACCAAGAAAAATGTGAAATATGAGTGGGATGAAGCACAAGCTCAAGCCTTTCAGATGTTAAAAGATAAGTTATGCAGTGCACCAATTATATCTTTGCCAGATGGAATGGAAGATTTTGTGGTATATAGTGACGCATCAAAGATGGGTTTGGGTTGTGTATTAATGCAACATGGAAAGGTAATAGCTTATGCTTCTAGACAATTAAAAGATCATGAAAGGCAGTATCCTACTTATGATATGGAATTGACAGCAGTAGTGTTTGCAACATCTGTTCCATCAGAAAGATCTGAATATGCGTCATGGAAAGGTAAGAGCTTGCAACATCTGTTCCATCAGAAAGATCTGAATATGCGTCAGAGAAGATGGTTGGAATTGGTAAGTGATTATGATTATGAAATTTTATATCATCCAGGAAAGGCAAACGTAGTGGCCGATGCGTTAAGTCGACAAGAGAAAAATGGAACTATCAAAGCTATAGCTTTACGAGTTGAGTTGTTACCCAGTATTCAAGAAGAGTTACAAGAATTTCAATACGAGGCAATGAAAAAGGATAAGATCAAACAGGAAAGCTTGGGTGGATTAATATCTGATTTGGTGAAATATGACAGGGAGTTATGGAAATTCCAAAATAGAATTTGGGTACCATGCTATGGTGATCTCAGAAAACGCATTTTGGATGAGGCTCATAAGTCACGTTTCACAATTCATCCAGGTACAAATAAAATGTATCGGGATTTGAAGCAGCACTATTGGTGGCCAGGTATGAAGAAGGATATTGCTAAGCATGTTGAGCAATGCTTAACATGTATTCAAGTAAAGATTGAACACCAACGCCCTTATGGTAAATTACAATCGTTAGAAATTCCAGTGTGGAAGTGGGATCATATCACTATGGATTTCATAACCAAATTGCCGAGAACATCAAAAGGTTATGATGCTATATGGGTGATAGTAGATCGATTATCTAAATCTGCACATTTCTTACCTATGAAAGAGTCATATTTAATGGAGAGATTGGCAAAATTGTAAATTGATGAGATAGTGATGCGACATGGTGTTCCTCTATCAATTGTTTCTGATAGAGATAGTCGATTCCTTTCTATGTTTTGGAAAAGTTTCCAAAGAGAGATGGGTTCTCAGATTAAGTTAAGCACAACTTATCACCCTTAGACTGATGGACAAAGTGAACGAACTATCCAAACTTTAGAGGATATGCTGAGAGCACGTGTCATTGATTTTGGAGGGTCATGGGTTAGTTATTTGGCTCTAGTGGAATTTGCATATAACAATAACTACCATTCAAGTATTCAGGCAGCACCTTTCGAGGTTCTGTATGGGCGAAAATGTCGAACTCCATTGTGTTGGAATGAAATAGGTGAAAAACAGTTGGTTGGGCCTGAGTTAGTTCAGCAAACTGCAAATAAAATTGGARTAATAMGGGAACGAATGAAAGCGGCACAAGATAGACAAAGAAGTTATGCAGATAAACGTCGGAAGTCGATTGAGTTTCAAGTGGGTGATAGAGTGATGTTAAAAGTATCACCTTGGAAAGGAATGGTACGTTTTGGAAAAAGAGGGAAGTTAAGTCYAARATATGTTGGACCATTCCCTATTATTGGAAGAGTTGGGGAAGTGGCTTATAAGTTARAACTTCCTTTAGAGCTAAGTGGAATCCATGACACATTTCATGTGTCGAATTTAAGGAAGTGTCTAATAAATCCAGATGTGGCAGTGCCACTACCTGAAATAAAGGTGGATGAAAAGTTATGCTTTGAAGAAACCCCTGAACAGATTACTGACTACAAGATGAAGAAACTACGAAACAAAGAGGTTGGATTAGTAAAGGTTCAGTGACGTTATCATAAAAGACCAGATGCCACCTGGGAACCGGAATCTGAAATGCGAATGAAATATCCCTACCTTTTTGCTTAAATGGAATTTCGGGATGGAATTCTTTTAAGGAGGGAATGTTGTAATATTCGGGTTTCAAGTTTTTAATTTAAGATTGTTGATTTTATATATATATATATATATATATATATATATAATATTTATGTGTGCTAGGAATGTGTGAAGATGATGAGGTGTCTGTTTTGCCGACTCTTGTAAAAGACGGCCATACACTTGCTATAAATAGCAAGTGTATGTAATATTAAGGGGTTGGTTTTCTGGAGGATTTTCATCATATATTGAGCAAAAGGACTGAAGGTGATCGTAGACTTAATCCGTTCAAACAATTCTAAGGTGAGTGTTTTATGCTTTGATGTATCAATTGTGGTATAACAATTGTAATTGTTTGAAACAGTTTATTATGTTTCATATATTATTCGGATTTCATCTAAACCGGTCAAGAGTTGACCGGATATTTTCCTAAACTGCCCAAGTGTTGTCCGGATATCTTCTTAAACCGCCCAAGTGTTGATCGGTTTATTCTTAAACCGCCCAAGTGTTGTCCGAATATTTTCTTAAACCGCCCAAGTGTTGACCGGTTTATTCTTAAACCGCCCAAGTGTTGTCCGAATATTTTCTTAAACMGCCCAAGTGTTAACCGGATTAAGAGCTAATCTGCTCAAGCCATGTCCGATTTATCTTTTTCTACTCTAAGTAATTGTCCGGATTTCATATCCGGACAGGGTTGATGGGACTTCAAATCCGGCTAATGTGTTGAAGCTTTTGATATGAAATTTCTCAAGATAGATGAAATGGCGGTGTAACCGCGAGAGAGATGAAATGGCGGTGTAACTGCGAGAAAGATGAAAAGGCGGTGTAACCGCGAGAAAGATGAAAAGGCGTTGTAACCGCGAGAGAGATGAAATGACGGTGTAACCGCGAGAGAGATGAAATGACGGTGTAACCGCGAGAGAGATGAAAAGATATGTGATAAATATAGATAAAATGTTTGTGATATACAGGTTTGATTCTAAACTGCTAGTTTAAAAAGTATGTTGTTGATATGAGTTATATACACTCACTAGACCTTTTGGGTCTAACGCTTAGTTGTTGGACTAACCTGTTTTGCAGGTCATCATTTTTCGCAGGATAAAGGCAATGGAAAAGTTTAGAATTGATGACTTTTTGTTACTCATAAATGTATTAAAGAAAGTTTTTGTTAGTCCATATTTTGTAAACATTATTACATTATGTGTTATAAGTATGATGATGTGGATTATCTGTCTGGTGGAAATTGTGGGTTGTTACACCAGATGAGGCGGTTATGGCAACCGTAAATTAATGGTCTAAATACAACGTAAATTAAGAAACTGCTTGTCAATTTTTGTTTGCACGTTTGTTTTTCAAAGTTATGTACCAGATTGTGGAGTCAGAGCTAATGAGAAGGCCTAAAAATGTTTGAGTGTTGTATGCAGAGCTTCACTCCACACAGACAGGTTCACTTACGGTTCAAATGGGTATACTTAAGTGGCATTTCTCCCTTTACACGTTTATTTTCCTTTTTTTTTGTGGCTTAATTGATGCTTGAGACTTCTAAAAACAACTCTGATATGTTCTATAGCTAACTAATTCTCGGTCCATTGTAATTAGGATTGTAAGTCTGGACATACAAGTCTGGACGAGTATGTCTTTGTCTACGTGCATAATTGTATGCCAGCCTTACAAGGTAGCATGCCTTAGAAATCTGAGAACAAATCTTAACTCCTTCTCTCAAATGGAAATTCAGAATTCTCTTCCCATAATTGATGTTTCGGACAGAGGAAACATCTCTGATATGTCTATGTATCACTAAATCTGAAGTCATTATTTCCAGACTTTTGCCTTATGTACACGAAAGTCTGGACCTATGATCCCATGATAGAGTCAGAGTTGCATGGCAGAGCTAGAAGGTACATCGCAAAAACATCTCATCACAAATATGAACTCATATTCCACAATTACAATTCAGATTTCTCTTCAGCATTTATGACGCTTACGTGAATACACAAATAAATCCCATTAGACTTAAGCTCTGTATATGGGTCAACTCTTTTTGTGACCTATATATATTTTGTAAAAAAAACATCATTTACAACTGTTTGAAAAACAAAATAAAACTAATCAGGCAAACGACTAAATGTTAATCAAACATATGCATTAATACGATAGTAACAAAATAATACAATAGTACTCAATTAAACAGCTACAACAACTAACTAAAATAAGTTCCAGCCATTTTAGGAAAACCATAAATCTAAAGTTCTATCTGAAATATCTTCAAAGTAGTTATCTATTTTTAAAGTTGAGGAAGATCCACATCCAGTCTCAGAAATGAAGTCAAAAGCTATAGGGGCTATACCAAAATCATCAAATTGTTTCGAGTTTATAGACCTGAAATCATGATGCATGTTAAAGGATGCAACTTCATCATCAATTTGTATTGAACCAAATGATTGATAATCCAAAGATGGTGCATCCGCAAGTGGAAGCTTGAGTGACTTTCGGTTGGGATGATGGTCGGACATTGATGTAACATTCGTCGGTGGTGGGTTTTCTAAAACCGTTGGAAAAACAAAATTTGTAATAGCAGCAGCCCCATGGAGTTTGATGGCAACATTATCATATACCATGGCAGCTTCCTCCGACGTATCATATGTTCCCAACCATAACTGTTGGCGTGTAGCCGAATCCATAATCTCCGTTCCCCATCTACCCCAACGTCTTTTCCGTACTCCTCGGAACTTTCTAACTTATCCTCTGAACTTTTCTTCTTCTTCATAGCTTTCTGTTTCGAATCTACAACACATGGGATGTGCTGGTTGTCGTCATATTGCCATTCTAGTTTTGCTTGACGGTTGTATGTTAATTTCATTAACATACTTCTTTACACGCCACCGTTCAAAAATGTGATCATCTTCATCTCCTGAAGAATCAGTTGCATAGGGATCGGTCATTGATATTCTTATAAGTTTTGGGAATGGTAACTCTTCTTGGTCAGAAAACTTCTCTGACATTGTCGGAACCTCCTTTGTTATATGCCTTTTGTGCTCCGTTTGTTTAATCGGAGTTAACATGAAGAAGTCCTCCATGAATATCTGGTTTGCAATGAAAAAGGAAAAGAGAAGTTTAAGAGTCGAAAATGGGTGAAAGGAGAGGAGAGGGAATATTTTATTTCAACAATTACCGGATTTGAAAAGAGTATAAATTTATTGGGAGGTCATTTCAACCGTCACTTTTAAAAATATCTGTATATATTTAATAATATCTGTCCTTTACGGTTTTCAATAAATTTCTACACAACACCCGAGTCTTCTTTATTTTGTGCCTATTTGCAGATTAAAATTAGATGAAACAATATTAGGGCTTAAAGGAATAAGAAGATGAATGAATGATCTCTTCAAAGAAGAAAATAAGTAGTGGTTTGTGAGGGATATTGCTTGGTTTGATGCAATCACTCTATTTTTTATGATTATGAAAAGAAAGGTGATTGCATCGGACCAKGCTTCATTCCTTTCAAATCCTCTTGTAAAAACCAGATAGCTACCAAGGTATTACTGGAAGAGTTAGTATGTGTAGATACAATGTTTAATGTGTATATGTCATTCATATTTTCACTGTGTGCAAATTTTCTTTTTAATATACTTTTCAGTAGCTTTGATTTCAGAGGATTTTAGAAAGTGAAGGAAAGGGCTATATAATTTGTTAATATGACTTTAAATATATTCATTTTATTTTGGAACAGATTTTACATATGACTTTGTCTTTATGCATAAAAATGTAAAAGAGTTATATACATGTTCAAAACCTCGCAGCATTCAATTCTTCATAAGCTTTTGCGTAGAAACAGTGTTTTAGTGAATCTTGTTTCCATTTGCAATTAGTGATTGTATTATATAAATGTTCAAATAACATACTTCAATTAGGAGGAAAACCTAAATGTAATATAAGTTATATATTTAAATTAAGTTATAACATTATCACTTAAAACAACTTATGTCTTTACCATGTTATGCAAAGGATGCAGTCTAATGTTCAAGTATGGCATTCAGACTTTTAACTATTAAGTTATAACATTATCACCTGAAAGTAACATTTTAGAACTGGTTTCAGGGAACTCTGCACATTGACACTCAAGAATTACTATTTACAATTTAAATCGAAAATCTGAAGTCTGTTTAGTACTATTTTGGAGCCATATTGCATGGTTTAAACATTAATGCACATTGTACGTCTATCAAACCACGTATGAAACTAATTGTATAAGTCTGTAACCAAACAAGTCACAGTTAGCTTCCAACTCTTATATTTAATTGTGAAATAAATATGTGTTTAGAAGTTTTTGTTATCACCGAAATACGTGACGGCATAGCACGTGCAGAACCTATTTGAAGGTATGTTTGAAGAATGGAGTCACGCTTGATAGACAAAAGGGTTAAAAAACTTTCCGCACTTTAAGCCCAAAACGGTACAGACTTACAAGGTTGAAGTACACTTCATATTCAAAAGCAGAGAGTCAAGGTAGGACATGAAGAGACAGAGCTTTTTTTCAAATCGTAAGTGCAGAGCCTCTGTGTAGCTCTGTATGAAGCACAAAGGTAGTGTTACACTGACGTAGCACCTGTAGAACCTCTGTCGTGGTCTATATCAAGAAGGGGAATTTCAACATAGAACATGAACAGACGGAGCTCTTTCTCAGCACTTAAGTGCAGAGCCTCTGTATAGCTCTGTATGAAGCATGAAGGCAGTGTTAGAGTGACGACATAGTATGTGCAGAACTTCTGTGAAGGTCTTCATTTAGAAGGGAAACATCAAAGTAGCACCTGAAGAGACATACCTCTTTCTCAGCACTTAACTGCAGAGCCTCTATATGGCTCTGTATGAAGTACGGTGAGATATTGACGGCGTAGCACGTGCAGGCCCTCTCTCAAGGTCTATATGAAGAACGGAGTCAGGGTTGACAGTCTCAAAGGTGAACAAACTTCCCAGAGTGTAAACCGAGTACGGTGTAGAGTTGCAAGTCTGATGTACACTTCCAGAGTACGACCTGACGCCTGAAGGTAGGACATGAAGACACAGAGCTCTTTCTCAACACTTAAGTGCAGAGCCTCTGTGTAGCTCTGTATGAAGCACGAAGGCAGGGTTAGAGTGACCGCGTATCACGTGCAGGACCTCTGTGAAGGTCTGTATGAAGAAGGGAAGCCTCAACGTACAACATGAATAGACAAAGCTCTTTGTCAACACTTAAGTAAAGAGCCTCTGTGGAGCTCTGTATGAACCACAGAGCCTTGCTCAGACTAACCGCGTACCAGTTGCAGAACCTCTGTGAAGGTCTGTATAAAGAACGGAGTGAGGCTTGACAGACACAAGGGGAAAGAAATTTTCAGAGTTTAGACTCGAACCGTGCAGAGTTGCAATTCGGAAGTCCTCATTCAGAGTAAGTGGCGGGGCCTCAACGTTAGGCATGAAGAGAGTGAGCTCTTTCTCAACACTTACGTGCAAAGCCTCTGTGTAGCTCTGTCTGAATCAGGGTGTGACATTCTGTCATTTCTGAGCTTCAGGTTAGCACCTTATTAGAGATCCTATATTTAGATTTACATTTTACTAGGATCTAGTCATGGTGATTAGAAATCATCTGGCTTAATTCCCAAGTTTTAGTTCGGAAGATCACGCCTCAGCAGGCAACTGATAAAGTTAACTTGTGTAATGCCAAATATTTTAGAAATGCTCCAAATAAAATAAAGTTGATATTATAAACTTTTAAATTAAAATACAAAAGTCCCAATTGAATGTCCAAATAATTTTATAAAAAGGTGGAGTTTTGAAATAATAGTGTCATTTTTATTAATGTTTGGTAAATTACATTGTTAATTATAAAGTTAAGTGGGTTTATTCATGTCTGAAAAAAAGTTTTTATTAGGTTTGGGCCTTTAGAGGCCAGCCCATTTACCTCATTAAAATCCACATATAAATACCCCACATCCTTTGAAAACTCTCATTTTCCAACTCTCTTGTTTGCTAAACCATATCATCTCTCTAATCTCTCTCTAAAAACAAACCACCCTCCAGCCGATTCCTTCAAGCAAGCCTTCAGGAAATTCTTTCAATCTTGAAGAATATTCAAGATTTTAAGAAAAAAAGTATGATACTGGTTATCTTACTTTTATAGAATAACAAAAGTTTTCATCTTCCTACGCCCACTTCTTGATCTTATAGTTAAATTTCTGGAGAATTAAATAGGGGAGATTATACATCAAAGACATGAAAATGTCTTCAAAAAGGATGATAATCTATGATCCATGTTCTTTGAACTCTCAAGTAGGAGGAAACCCATTGCATGCGAAGTTTGAGCATGTAAGGCTATGTTTTGAAGTATGGTAGAATCTTGCATGCATCTCAAATCGGTTTTGTCATCTTCAAAATTTAATGGAATCGGGAAATATTTTCTGGAGGCTAACCGTATTTGTTAGTTTGAAAATAGAATTAAGATCCTTGAAAAATGATGAGTTTAGACCCCAAATGACAGTCACTCGAAGAGTGCGCAATCTGTTTTGGGGGCTGTGTAACTCAAGGTTGTAGAGTAATAATGAGTGACTTAAACCCACTCAAATTTTCTTGACATTTGGAAAAAGTCGGCTGATCTCATTATTTTGGATGATGTGAAAAGTTTGTGAAACCCAAAAATACGTGGAACAGAATTTATAATCTGTCCAAAAATCAGCTTTTGAATAAAGAATTTTGATTTCTTTTAATATATATATATATATATATATAATTTTTGGGATAAATAATAAAATATCAACTTTAAGTTATAAAAACCTGATGGCATTATATAAGATACAATTTGACTTTATCTTTATCGAGAT